ATGTGTCACAAGTGTCAACAGCTCTGATTCAGTCACCAATAATCCCAGTCTATTTGAGATGCAGCCAGTGTGGTATACATGCATGTAATGAAGCATACTGTGCCAGTCAAGGTTCTTTAATCACAGTAAAACAATGCAGTAAACACATACGTACCCTGCTCTGAGGAACTCCTCGCTTACGATGTTCTTCAATGGTACACACACTCGAGGTGGCAGCTTCCTGAACAGGCGCTGAGAAAACTGCCCTGACAGCTGCAGGGAAGAAACCACAGTGGAGGTAGATATAGCTAATTAGCACACGGTGTAACATAAAGCCCAAAATACTTTGCAATTTTGCTGTGCTTCATCTTCGTGTAATGCCCAGCACAGTAAGACGACACGGACAGTACATGAATTACGCTTGATGCACAAAGACTGCCATTAAATCTGAGGTGTGCTGCCGCGGTTGAATAAACGCTAAAGCTGACTGGTAAAGTTAAAACTCAGATCAAATAGACCTTTACAAATGTGGCTTAAGTGGCTAGCACTTTAACACGGTTCGGTTGCATTAAAATGTGTATGGGCCATCTGCAAACCAACTTGGGAAGTAAAATGGATAAATATCATAACATAGAGCAGGGAAGCTGCATTGTTTTACAGTTTGGAGCATTAGCCACCTGCCACCCGTTGGCTGTTATTAAGTTAGCCGCGGTGCTAGTTAGCAGCTAGCTCCTAGCTGGCCTCAGAAGCTCCTGAAACCGTAGAGGCCTTCTCTTTGACGGCTCATTCTAAACCTTTCTCTTCAGGTCCTGCTGAAGCATGCCTACCTTTCCGCGCATAAGAAGCTTCACGACATGGTCTTTGTGTTTTCTTTGGCTTTTCTGTTTGCTGTCGTCCTTTTCAGATTTCGAGCTGGGCGCCATCTCCCCCTGAACTGTTCCCAGTTGCCCGTCAGAGGCCCGTCCCGATTGGCTCACAGGCTGCACGGGGCGGCCCTCACTCGCCAGTACTCGCATCCATCAAAACCCCAAACAAAAGTAAGGCACGACAAGGGGAACATCCCGAGGGAAGCAACCACAAAGGAAGACATGCATGCGTTTGTGGGTTTGTTTGTTTTTTGACGTGCCTAGGATTTTAGTTACAAATAGGCAGGTGTGAAAATTCTTCTTAGTGATCTGATATAAAAAATAACCTGGGAAAATTTGTCAAGACATTAAGAATGAGATGAGATATACGAAGATGTTTAGTGAGATTGTGACGTCCACTTGGATTTTTTCATTTTCATTTATCTGATCTTATCTTACTTGCCAGGGGTAATATTTTGTATCCCCTACAATACTATTAAAGAGGCTATAGTTTTTATCTCAGTGTTGAAAACTTTCAAATATGAATAAAAAACATTAAACTTGAAAGAATAACTTTAATTTTAGGCATATTAGCTAATGTGGCATTACAAACAGCACAGGGGATTATCACACAAGACTGGTAATTGAATGTTTTTATTTAAGTATTTAAAAACAAGCTGTAAAAAACAAAACAAACAAAAAGAAAAAAAAATAAATCAGCATACAATAAGAGAACTTACTGGAAAAGAGACTATTCTTTTCATTGTAAAGATGTAGAAATGAAACCAAGGGCAGTCAAGCACACAAACACATACATGCACAAAGAACCAGCCTACATAACTGCAGGACAGTTAGTGCCTTATTACAGCCAACTTACACACGGTCTTCTGTTCAGTAGCATACACTGTATACAGACACACAAGACTTGCCCCTTGAGGAAAATCACAGAGAATGTAATTAAAAATAAGAAATTATGACAGCAGGGAGAAGTTCACCTGCAACTTAAACACTGGAATCTTTTTTTGTAAAAAAACTGAAGTTTAAAAAAGTACCAAGAAGAAGAAGAAGAAGAAGAAAAAAGACCAACAACTTCTGCCATACAAACATAATTTTTTGAATATATTCAAAATACTGCTAGACAGTTTTTACCTTCAGCAAACAGAAGGGGAAAACTACTGACATGTGAGTCATTGTTGAGATGCTGTTGTGCTAGCTTGCAAGAAAAGATGCTTATTATTTCACATTTAAGAAAAAAATTCCAAACCATCTGATGTATTACAAGGTGAAGGTGAGGTGAAGGGGTAAGTTAGTGCTTTTTTTCCAATACATCTGCAAAACGCATTCCCTTTTGAATTTCATTAAAAAAAATTAAACAAACAGGAAGGTTTGAATACAAAATGTCTGAGAGGATGAGTTAACCACAGGCTTATTGTCCTATTAAAGCCCAAAAAAACCTGGGAATTTAAAAAACAACAACAAAAAAAAAACAAGCCTGGAGATTCAACACATCTGCCCAACAGAACACGTCACACGTTTACTGGGCCTGAAAAGAAGAGAAAAGATGTCATAGAGAAGCACTGATCTAGTCACACTAATAAAAGACAAAAATGTTCTTACAATCAAAATCAACAGTTGATGTAGTCGATTTCCTGGTATTAACTTTTTAAAAAAAAAAGGCTTTTTCTGTTTTTTTCAACCATTTTCTTTTAGTATTAAGTTTTACCATATTTTCTCGTTCTTCTCAAATTCAGTTGATATACCCTTATGGTACTAAAGAGTCATTTTAAATTTTGATTTATAAATGTTTATTTGCTTTGTTCCATCTTCTTGTCAGTTATCTGTAAAATACTTTGAACTGAAGGTAACTTGCATGAAAGGTGCCAAATAAATAATTCAACGTAAATGCCATTTCCATCTTTAGACAGAAGAATATGGAAACTACTGATGTGGTTGATTTAAGCTACTGGTTGAGAAGCTTAACCCAAGATAAAACATCCCTGGTTCATATAAAAAAAAAAAATCCTACGTGTAATTGAGCTTAACTTCATCGGTGAACTCATACCTGTGATGGTTGGAAACATCATTGCTGGCCTTTTGACCAACCCACTTTGACATAGATGCATATACATTTTTGCATGTTACCATTCCAACTGAACTACAAATCACATATATCCAGATCTTGCTTTTTACTCCATCTTTACACAAGGCGGTGTCCATTTGTTACCCTGCTGCCAGAACAGTTTTGTAGCCTACCATAATGTTATCTCATAGCTGTGAGGATCACTCTATTATCCATTTTTACAGAATTCTATACACAAAATTTGGGGAATTATTCCCAAATTAATTCTTTTTTCATTAATTAAATATATAGCCAATTAATTAGCTTAGTTTACCCCCTTCCAAGCAGCCATGAGGTCAGTTTTAAACATCAGCCATACCTGTTGTCCCTGCTGTGGAGCAGCTGCTTGTCCAGGAGCCTGGCCTGTCTGTCCATAGTAGGCAGCCTGCTGTCTGTAGTACTCAGCCCAGGCTGCACTGTAGTCCTGCTGGCCACCAGGTGCAGCTCCTCCTGCTGCAGCTGCTGTGGGGGCTGCTGCTGTGCCTGGAGCAGCTGCTGCCCCTCCTGCTGGCTGAGCTGGAAAAGAAAAACAAGTGCAAACATACATTATATATGTACAGTTACATGCTACAAGCACATATGGATGAATGAATAATATATTAGCATTAAAGTCACTTGTGAGATGGCAGCACATTTGACGGTTGTGACTTTTTAAATTCTTTAAGAATTAAATATTTGAAGTTGTTAAAGGCTGTCAGTTACAGACTTAATAAACATTATTTACTCAAAATTAGTTCCAACTTACTCATGCCCATCTTCTTATAATACTCTTCCCAAGCCTTGGTGTAGTCTGGCTGACCCCCAGCAGTCTGGGCTGCCGGGCTCTGGTCCCCTGGTGCTGCTGCTGCTGCTGCAGGAGCTCCTGGATTCTGAGCTGGCATTGTCCCCCCTGGCTGCTGCCCGTAATATTGTGCATAGTAGGCTGCCCATGCTGCATTTGGGTCTGCTGCAGCCTTATCTAATTGGGAAAGATGAAATTGAGTTGAGGAATAAATAATCAAGTACTGAAACAAACAAAAGAGAAATAAATAAAGGACTTACTGGGGTCATATGGATTTGGGGCTTGCCACTGCTGATAGGCATTTCCCCAACCCTGAGAATACTGGGCACCACCTGGTGCAGCTCCACTGCAGAGAGACGGGACAGTTAAAGCATAAACCACCTACTTATATGAGTTAACCCTGAAAGAAAACACACTGGCACAACTATTTACACACTGTACTTACTGAGGAGCTCCACCAGGAGGCCCTGCATTATAAGGGTTCGGATTATAGGGACCCATTGGACCAGGTGGCCCTCCTGGACCAGGACCACCACCCACAGGACACAATGGGGCCTGGAAAAACAGGGAATAAAAATCATTATACCAATAACTTCAGACTGCATGGGATCTTTAGGCAGCTGCTTAAAGTCATTCTCTGCTTTGTAAGTAATGTGAACCTACCTCAATCTTCTCTTCTATAAGCTGCTTTGCATGATCAATCTGTTGTGGAGACCCTCTGATGGTGAACAGTTTGAAATTCGGGTCACCGTTTGGAGGTGGCTGACGAGATATCTCCACAAATGCACCAGTTTGCTGGTTGATGGACTTGACATTCTCTCCTCCTCTGCCAATAACAAGCCCACATTTGTGAGCAGGGATGGAGAAAGTCATCTCACCTCCTGGTGGACCCCAGTTCCCTTGGCCTCTACCCTGCCCTCGGCCACCAGGTGGCATACCAGCACCAGGACCCGGTGGACCCTGTGAAAGAAAAATGCCACATTCTTTTTAATTAACACAAAATTCAACATTAAAATTTCTTAAAGAGGCCCTTAATAAACATGTGTAACATTTCAAATAATGAGGTCAGTGTTTATAACAGTTATCCCTGGGTGCCAAAAGTTCAGGCTGAAGACTGACTTAATGGTCATCTCAGCCACACAGCTTTGGCCCCACCCACTTTCTGTTTGCACCTTCTCTGTTTAATGGCTAGCCTATCTAGAGAGGAAAAGAGGAGCTAAAATGATCTGTTTCATACACATAACCTGAGGGTCTGCATAAACACCCAGTATGCAATAAATAAGGATTATTTGGAATCATGCAAAGCTACTCTAGCATAATCCAAGAAGAAAAAATATGGAGTTTAAATTGAGCATTTTAAATTACATCCCCTGCCCGTCTCTTCAGCGTGTACTTACCCCTTGCCCACCCTCCTCTCTGGCACGGATGCTCTGTAGCAGGTCAGTGATGATCGAGGCAGCGTGCTGACACTGGTCTGGTGGACCCATAATATAAGCAATCTTTTCAGGACCTGTACCATCATCTGTAAAGAGTAGGAAAATGACAGTTGGGTTTATTGATGAGAGTCCACACTGAGACAAAAACAAACAAACAAAAATTTCTAGCCACCAATACTGAGTAGATGTATGTATGGTATAAATGTGAACATCCTAGGTGACTTCCTTCTCAGTTATCACACCCACAAGACTTTCAGAAAATTTGAGCTCTGACCTTGACCTCAAGGTCAAAGTCACGATTCAAATTCATCCAAGATTTGTAGCAGATGCACCTATGGTATGAATTTCAAAACCATGTCATCTCATTTTCGAGTTATCGTATTCCCAAACTTGGGTGTCCACGTCGCCCACCTCCCCAGTGGGGTGAAGATATTTTTCAATTTTATTACATGCAGTGAAAGTAGAGTGAGAGTGTACCTGGTTTAAACTGTATTTTCACGCCAGCATCACTCTGGATCTTCTTGATCATCTCTCCACTGCGACCAATCACAACTCCCACAGAGTGCCGCGGGACAGCTATCTGTAACATTAAATAAACACTTAACCATTCAGAGTTGATGTGTCTCACTGTGCTGGTCGAATTCAAACACACTGTCTTTACTCACTTCTATGCCCCCTCCTCCCATCCTTGATCCATATTCGTTCCTCTCTCCAAAACCCTGATGTTCTCTCTCTCGTAGGATCTCATTAACCATCTCCTTAGCTTGCTAGAAAGGCAACACAATGAAAAATTTTAACCAACAGCAGCTTAACATATTTCCCGCACAAATGAAACCACTCAACCCAAAACGGTACCTGGACTTTGTATGGGTCTCCAATGATACGAAGAGGTTTATCTATGTTGGGTGGCTGCGACGCATCTTGGATAAGAATCATTTTG